CCGGGCCACCACCGTCACGCGGTGCTCGGACGCCTGCTCGCGGTCCAGCGCGCTCGCCGTCACCACCTTGTACGAGCCGCCCGACGACGCCACGATCGACAGCGGCGCCTCTCCCGACAGCTCGCACGACACCTCACCGTTCTCGCCAGTGTCCCGGTCACGAACTTTCAACAGGGCTACCACGGTGCCGGCTGGCGCGTCCTCCGAAACAGGGCTCGACAGTGAAAGAATGGTGATTTCCGGAGCGTTGTCGTTCTCGTCCGTGATGTCTATCTGCACTTCACAGTGATCGGTGAGCCCACCTCCGTCTTTCGCCTCAAGGCCGAAGCTGTATTCACTTTTCTCCTCGAAATCGAGGGGACCCGCCGTCCTGATCTCGCCATTCTCGCTGTCAATAGAGAACAACTCACGGATTCCGTCCGGTACAGTGCCGAAGGAGTAGGAGACCCGCCCATTGGATCCCGCGTCCGCATCCGTGGCCCGCACCTTCAGCACCAGCGACCCCGCTGGCAGATTCTCCGCCACTCGCGCCTGGTACACTGCTTTGCTGAACACAGGTGGGTTGTCATTGGCATCCGTCACGTTGACACGAACCTGAACAGTCCCGGATCTCGCGGGATCCCCATCATCCACTGACGTCAGCACCAGCTCAAAGGAACTCTGCTTCTCCCGGTCCAACATTTTCTCCAGCACTAATTCAGGCTGCTTCTTTCCACCTGGCCTTTCCTTTACGGCCAGACTGAAGGACGGGTTGCTGCTTATCTGGTAATTAAGCAGCGAGTTGCTGCCCGCATCTGCGTCTTGGGCCATTTCCAGAGGAAAACGAGCACCTGGAAGTGTCCATTCACCTATCTCGAGGTCCAGAACAGCCTTACCAAAGGTTGGGGAGTTGTCATTCACGTCCTCAATGGCCACTTCGACGTGGAAAACATTGAGCGGGTTGTGCACCAGCGCCTCGAAGCTGACAGAGCAGGATGCCGATTTGCCGCAAAGCTTCTCTCGGTCCAACCTCTCGCTCACGTACAGGTTCCCGTTCTCCTCGTTCACGGTGAAGTATTGCTTCTCCTCGCTGAGCCGCAGCTTGCGCGCCGGCAGCTCGTCCGGGCTGAGCCCCAGGTCCCGTGCCAGCGGCCCCACGAGCGAGCCTGTGGGCAGCTCCTCGGGGATGGCGTAGCGGAGCCGCTCCGGCGCCGCCCGGCAGCACA